ATATGAACCACTGATGTATTTATATATTAGGTTCTTGAAAGGAATTTTTTTTCAAACTTGACAGCTAACTCAGGAATCAGTTTCCTCATTGGCAGATTTCCTCAATACTTTTGCTTTGGTGACAACTAAAAAATATTTAACTTCATTTCGACGAAAGTCACCAGACCGGGAAGCAAGAGTCCGACAAACAGGGACACTAACAGCAGGAAAACCTAACATTGGTTATAACCCTAACTTATTCTCCCCAAAATGTGAAAGAAAATGATTTGGCCATAATTGATATGGCATCTCATTTTAAAGGGACTCTGTCACCAACTTTGAAAAATTGCAGGTAAAAGAAAAATCAAATGTTTTGAATGCATTAAATCCAAGAAAGATCAAATCCCTAGCACAACCCATTTCCTCATTGCACATCATAGGCCTCTCCTCTTCTGGCAGTGTCTAATTATTAGCAAAAAAATCCTCAAAGTAATTCAGTAGCGCAAGATTGCATAAACATACATATCAAAGTGAAACTTATAAAGTGAAAAAGTCCAAGAAAGTCGTTAATGAGCCCAAAAATCTTAAAATTCTCCAAGAAAAATCACCAATTGTGCAAAATGTAATAGTGTCCCCTTTCGGGTGTGCACTCACCACATAGCTATGCCTCCCATTCTCATGGTTGGTTAAATTGCTTAAAGATGTTTATCCAAAGAGAAGAAGATCAACTCCCACTCAATGTCAATCATCTCTTCTGATTCACCAAGATATCCCTCTTTTCAAGATACACAGGTGACATTGCATAGATGGATTGATAATTGGTATAAAGGTCTTGAGAATGATGTACAGCCAACCTCCTTCCTAGTGCGCTGTTCTCCCTTCTCTCCTTGGACCGACAGGGGGGTGCAGGCATGTTCACAATATCACTTCTGGTCTCCTCTTCTACCAATCCAAGGTTCCTTCGTTTCTGGATCTGGCTACAGACAAAGAGAAGAAGATCAACTCCCATTCGATGTCAATCACCTCTTCTGATTCACCAAGATGTCCCTCTTTTCAAGATACACAGATGACATTGCATAGATGGATTGACAATTGGTATAAAGGTGCTGAGAATGATGTACAGCCAACCTCCTTCCTAGTGCGCTGTTCTCCCTTCTCTCCTTGGACCGACAGGGGGGTGCAGGCGTGTTCACAATATCACTTCTGGTCTCCTCTTCTACCATTCCAACGTTCCTTCGTTTCTGGATCTGGCTACAGAAAAAGAGAAGATCAACTCCCACTCGATGTCAATCACCTCTTCTGATTCACCAAGATGTCCCTCTTTTCAAGATACACAGGTGACATTGCATAGATGGATTGATAATTGGTATAAAGGTGCTGAGAATGATGTACAGCCAACCTCCTTCTTCCTTTGTGATCATCTCTCAGATGGTCATGCAAAAAGACAAAGCACATAAGAACCCCAATGGTGCAGTACAAAAGAGCTCATTTATTCACTTACATTGACAGCCACTTACAAGCTATAGATAATATTCAAGCCCAAAGATGTTGCAGATTAAAAAATACGGACAAACAAGCTATGGAAATCTCTGCAGTGCTCTCACCACCGTCAAGTTCCACAAAATGGCACTGTCCACGTCACTTCCGATTCCGTTCACGTCACGTCCGGTTGCCGCACAGCCCCCCAAGAGGGGAAAATACAATAGAGGGTCACTTTAGTGGCAGCTCTGAGTCTGCTGGGGCTGCTGACATCACATCCAAGATGGAGGCAGCAGTTTCAGGGCTTTTTTGGATGTCAGAGTGAGGCTTTTACAGATAAATAACATGCGTAAAGTAGAACATACAATCCAATAGAAAGATATTTGTTGAGTCTGGCTATAGGGTATTTTTAAGAATGTGAATGATAGTGTGCATTAATAAGAAAATGTGCATTTGTGTTTTCTGTCCTCCAGGCTTCATCTCCCGGCTCTATCCAAAGCATTGTGATGCTTGTAGAAAAGGAGACATCTCCTCAGCTGGAGAGAATCCCCGGGCTGCAGGTGAGCACCAGGATATTTTTGTTGGTTATGTGTTGTGTTAGAGAAGACACTGGTAGCTTGTGATGAGGCAGAACTTGGTTTACTTGTGTGGCTTAAGAAACAATTTTCTAACACCATTATAATTTTTGTTATAGCATTAGAACCACTGGTAGCCCCAAGGATAACAGCAGCCACAATATATGGAGAATGTGTCTATAAAACATAATACGTGATCCTAGGCTGGTCACAAAGTCTTTTAGAGCAGCTACCCCACAGATAGAAGAAATATCTGTAATATAGAAAAGGGAACAAAGGAGGGCGCTTCTAAGTGCGGGAGCAAACTGACTTATTAAAAAAGAAATAACAATTTACTCACATATAGTAAAAAAAATGTGTGCTTATCATATAACTCAAAGCTGTCATCTCTGGTAGCAGGCTGTACAAAAGAACATCCAGCTTAGCAGAGGACACTGAGCCGCTAGAAGTAATGTAAACACAGGCACAGGAGCCGAACTGCCAGCGTTATTACAGTGTGGGAACCGCTAGGCTGACATATAATGCCTGGGGCATGTAGGGGGCATGGGTACGCTTTTTGAGGCTTGAGCAAGGGGTGTTTGGCCTCGATAAGCCCCTTATTTCTTCTAATAACCAAGTGCCCTCTGCTCAGTTGGATTTTTTTTCTGTACTGCTTGGAACCAGAGATGACGGCTTTGAGTTATATCATATGCACACAATTCTTCTACTATATGTGAGTGGTTAAGTAATTCTTTTTTAACTAATCCATTTATTGCTGCACTTAGAAGAGCCCTCTTTTGTTCCCTTTCCTAACACCATTAGGCTGTATTTGCACGGATGTTTAGCCACAATACAAATCCCAGCGACAAGAATCTACTGATTCCTGATGCCAGGATTGACAGCAGCATGTGGATATTGCTCTGGTAATCGCTGGCTGTGTGGACAACCAGGAATAGCTGTGGCAGTTGACAGCCTGTCATTGCAGTGTGCGGGCTCAGTGTCCACAGCTATCTTCTCACAGCTGTCAAGCTCATTGAGCCGGTGTAGTGGTTTGGGGATTTGAAATCCCTGCTCATCTCTCCCTTCTTTCTGCAGGGCTTCTGGGATGAATCAGAGCAGGAGCATAACTACAGGGGTTGCAGGGGTAGCAATTGCAACCCAGCCCCATGCTCCAGGGGTCCTGTGCACCCCCCTGTACATCTGGATGGGAGGGCGGCCGCACATAGACGAACCAATGTCCTTAATTTTGCAGCCGCTAAATGCCGGCGGGAAACGCAAGTTTCAGCGGCTGCAGAAGGACAATGGTGGGCATCAGGTCCTCTACATGCTGCCGCCCCTTCTATCTAGGTCCTACTCCAGGTCTGTGTGCAATGTCCAGCTTGTCATGCCTGCGCCTCAGGAACTCCAGCATCACCTCCCCACTCAGCTCTGCATTCATCTGCTGACTGAACTCCATAGTGCCCAGCACAGTGCTAGGGATCCTTGGAGGGGGCAAAGCTGAGGTTGTAGAGCGAGACACTACGGTCCAGTATGGTGGGAGAGTAGCTGACAGCAGCCATGGGGTTGCCAGGGAGAGCGAAAACATGGCGAGGTTATGTTAATAGTAACCCCGTCCTACTCCACTTAGTCCCCCCTCTTGTTCCTGAGCCTGTCCCCCCCACCTGTCCCTGAACCATACACTGGAAGGCTGAGCTGCAAGTCCCAAGACCCCTCCAATCTATGACTGACTGTGGGGGTATTAATACCCCATAATACTCTGTATAACCCCCCATATAACAATAGAGTATTATTTGTTACCAGGGGCATAACTACAGGGGTCGCAATTGCAACTCAGCCCCAGGCTCCAGGGGGCCCATGCAGTGCCTCTATACACCTGGATAGAAGGGGCAGCATGTGGAGGAGCCAATCCCCTCCATTTTCTTCCTGCAGCTGCTGAAAGCTTGCTTCTCCTCCTCTCCCTCCTGCAGGAATTCAGCAGCTGCAGGAGGAAAATGGAAGGCATCAGTTCCTCTATATGCTGCCCTCGCTGCCCCTCCTGTCCAGGTCCTGCTGCAGACAATTGCTGTGATCTGTCCCAGAAGCCCTGCAAAAAGAAGGGGACAATGAGTGGGTATTTCAAATCCCAAGACCACGACACCAGCTGCCTTGGCACTGACAGCTCATCACCCATGGAGGTAAGTGGAGCAGGAGCAGGGGAGGGTATAAGGTTTTAGTTCACCTTTTCATTTTTTTTTTAAAAAGGTATACTAACTCCGTAATTATGGATCAAAATCTATTTACCGATGTGTGGCATATCGACCCAAAGTGTTGTTGACTATAGATCAATTATTCATATTGGAAGAGATTGGTCATAAAAGAAATTGATCATTTATTGAAGCTTGTATGGCCATCATCAGGCTGGGCGCATACGTTTCCATGTGCGTTGTTATGCAATGTTATGTGCATTTTAAATGCACATTTTCATACATATTAATGCACGTTTTCTTGTGCCTTTATATGCATTTTATGCATTCGGTGCTGCTTTGCTGGGTTCTACCAGCCAATGAAATGTTGAGTAAAGTTGAGGTTGTTGTGGGTGAGACTGGAGACCATGCACTTGAAACATGCTAAAGTGCAGCTTACATGCATATTCATTGTTGCCTTCAAAGCACTAAAAAATGGAGCTGCACTTTTTTTGCCCAACATGCATTAACACAGCGCACAGATGTAAACTAGCACAATGTGAAATCTGAGCTCCTGAGACCATGTGCTCCAATGTGTTCTATCACAATACTGTGAATGGGGCCCTATTGTAAGGGAATCATTTACAACTGGTAATGGTTATTTCAGCCTTTCATTTTAAATGAATTTCTTTTTTTATTAGAAAAAAGGGACTTTATTCTGGTAGATGATTAATATTCCTGATTCTTCTGTGTACAGGTGGAAGTCCTGACATCCCTGAAATCATTGGGCCGTTCGGTGGACATTGGACAGCTCACCTGGGACCTCGGAGGCACCTACCCGTACTGTCACAGCGAGTGGGTCCAATTTTATCAGGTGCCACTGCCTGCTAACAAGCTGTAAAGTATAACTAAACGATCCATGTCTTGGTGTGTCTGTCACCGCATCTCATTTCACACCTGGTCTGCATGTTAAATGCTTGTCTGCCTCTGATTTATGATGGAAACACACCAATGAGCAACACTGGAGAGCCATCAATGTTCGGCTGCATCTACTGTGAGCAGTTTAGGAACCATCTTGTTCCATTAGTAAGACAGATGTGAGCACTAAGTGTACATCGCACTGGATTTACATGGCCAGCAACATGTGTTGCTGGTCTTCATTAGTCTCTCTGGTAAAAGTTGGGAAAGACATAAACATATGTCTTCTGTGCCGCAGGCTGTTCGTCTGCCACTATTTCAGGTATTATTCAAAAGCCTTTGTTAAAGGAAACCTGTCATAAGAGAGATACAGAGGCAGCCACTGTTGGTGTTCTTCTGAAAATTATAGTTGCCTGGCTGTCATGCTGATCCTATATTTCCAAGTCACTTGATGGAACAAGATGAGAAGATCACTGACTCCATACAATTTCCAGATCAGCGACTCAGAAAGCATTAAAACCTTGGGTTGTCTGACGGCCAGAGAACAAGCAATGCCATACAATAGCAGCCCACTTTCATGGAATTCAGGGTATGGTGGTGCATGGGGATCTGAGGAGTTCGAAATGTTCACTGAAAAATTAGGTGGGAGAGCCCTTATAGTTTTGTAAATGACTCAAATATATTGATTACCTTTAAAAAAAGTGAAATAAAAAAAAAAAAGAAGTAACTTACATCTGCTGAGGTTGCAGTGACCCCATAGGGTAAATATATGCAACCTTCTGTGAACACAGGTGGAGAATACTGTGCCTTCAACACAGGATGAGGTTGTTCTCAATGCCATGGGGTTCCCAGTCCTGGATCCTCTGTGGGGTTCTTAGGAATGTGTTTCTGTAGGTCAGGTGAGTTGGATGATGTCGAAAAAAAGCCTGTTGGTGTCCTAATCGGCAGAGGTGTCCATGGTACAGCATATCAGGAATAATCAAACATGAGTGTATCACCTAGAACTGAGGAAGTGACAATTTAAAGCCATGAAATGCATTTTCATGGTGAAATAAAGCTCTTCATTGTAAGGTAAACCGGAAGACCCCAGTTTCTTTTTTAAGCACATGACAATGGATGAGTTTGCCGATCGGACCACTGACAGGCTTTTTTAGATGTCATCCAGCTCACGCTCATTGAAGGTTTCTCTCTTTACTTTAAGGCTGAGTCAGAAGTTTAAAATTCAGGTTATGAGGGTGCATGGGCAGACCAAAGCACTTAATAGGCTTTCTTATAATATAGTATTTAGTAGGGCTACATTCATGCCCCCTGTTACGAAGTTTCATTATTCCCTCTGTAATCTCCATAATATAAAATGAGTCCATGAGTAGACCAAAGCAGTGGGCCTTCTTATGGTTGAGTATTGAGTAATTTTACATTTTTGTCCCATGTTTCACTTCTCCAATTGCATTCTGCATAGTATAAAATGAATAAAATGTCAAGCAAAGCAAATGGGACCCATCATCCTCCACAACTCCCCTATAATGGTACTGGCCAGAGAGCAAAAACTCTTAATGGAAGTCTGTACTGAGAGAAATGAGTAGGATTCCATATGTAATCCTCCTTTGATAATGCTTATCCTGTGGGTTCTACACTTACTAAGTTATTGACCCAGAACAAGTATGCAGATCAGGCATTTTGACTTCATTGGCTATTGAAACCAAAACCAGCCAGGCTTCTAACATTTCCAGGAGGACAACAATATTGGTCGCCATCTTTCTTTCAACATATGTATCCTTTAAAATAATTTGTTTTTAATGAATATTTCATCACCCCTGCACTCAGGCCGCTGATTAGGAGGCAGCATCAGTCCTCCTGTACAGGGCCGAGGCCAGTAGGGGGGGCCCGGGCAGAAGGGGAATCAGATATGGGAAGGAGAGGTGGTGATCAGTGAAGCGGGAGCAATTAGAAGAACTGCTCCTCTGGGTGTCTCTCCCTGCTGCAGCTAAAAGCTGGTTTCTCCTTCTCTTCCTCCCATCAGTTTTCAGCTGCTGCAGAGAGAGGCGGACAGATCACATTCCCTGTCCAAGACTGGATTCCCCCTGCTATAATGATTTTAGTGTATTCTAAATGAAAATAACATTTTATTCTTTTTTTCTACAGTTTCTACATTTTAACCCTTTGTTAGGACAGACGGTGTTCAAATCTAAATTACAGCTAATAATGAAGAAATGCAAACACAGTACAGACAGGGTTAAATATGTTAAACATTACTCTACAACCCCCCCACAAACATTACATAGCAGGGAGATCATGTACAGATTTTTAAGCAATTAAAAAGCACTTAACAAGGTAACCACCAATTTTTAAGATTTTTTAATGTTTTGCTATGGTAATGTGCGCACATAACAAATATAAAGTAGGTGTTATCCCAGATGGCTGAGGTAGTAGGGAAGCAGCACAGGACATTTGACACAAAGCAAACGTTTGAAACAATGAGACAGTTTATTGCCCTTCAAACTTTAGGGGAGCTGGACTATGGCCAGTGGGAGTAGAAAATGCCCTGGCATCGGTAGGAGTAAACAATGCCATAGGCTTGGTGGTCAGCGGGAGGAATAATGGTGTCAATGGGAAGAATAATACCCCATCATTGGCAGCAGTGGGAGAATTAGTTCTCCATCTTTGGTGTCAACGGGAGGAATAGTACCCCATTGTTGGTGTCAGTGAGAGAAATAGTACCCATTGTTGGTGTCAGTGGGAGGAATAGTGCCCCATCATTGTCAGCAGTGGGAGAATTAGTTCTCCATCTTTGGTGTCAATGGGAGGAATAGTACCCCATTGTTGGTGTCAGTGAGAGAAATAGTACCCCATTGTTGGTGTCAGTGAGAGAAATAGTACCCCATTGTTGGTGTCAGTGGGAGGAATAATGCCCCATCATTGTCAGCGGTGGGAGAATTAGTTCTCCATCTTTGGTGTCAGTAGGAGGAATAGTACCCCATTGTTGGTGTCAGTGGGAGGAATAGTGCTCCCTCTTTGGTGTTAGTGGAAGAAACAGTGCCCCAAGGGCCTGATAAAGGCAAGCAAAGGGTCACATCCAGCCCACGGGCCGCTGTTTGGAAACCCTTGGGAACCTCTAGCCTAGAAGGACAGGAATATATATTAGCGCCTTCCAAAAACAACAAACAGAAGGATAATTGTCTATCCTTGAACCTACCATGATGCTCCCTACATTGGTTTGCATACCATTTGAATCTTTCTCTCTTCTCTGTAGCGGAGGGAAGCATCATCGCTCAATACCTTCCCTATGGTGTTAGTAGTGACCCAATATTCGAAAGCTATGCTCCAAACTGAGAACAATGTAATTATTGGACCAGCTGTATATTATATATTATCTCAGTTCTGCCAATTGCCTGAGTGATTTCAAGTACAAGCATATTGCTGATAATTAGGACCACAAGAGGAACCTGACATTTTCAAGGGTTGCTGTGTGCTGGCAGCACCTAGTAAACCATTAAACACCAACAAGGAGTCAGCTTGTAGATATGCCATGATAAGCTTTTGATTTTAATGCAGTAAAGTGACAGCTTGTTTCAAATGAGTTTTTATTTGTCTTTGGCGCTTAACAGTTCCTTTTAGTAATCTCTGCAGGGAAGTCATTTACAGTCCTTCAGATAGAATCAATACCTACTGGGAAGTGTTTGCTCAGCTTTCATTATGTATGTAGAGGTCCTTCAAGAAAGAATTAAACTGTGTGTTTAAAGCCTAACTCCAGGCTTACCTTTCTTCTACTGTTATGTACTGTGTATGGGGATGTTGTCCAGTTTGAAATCCTACTGCATCAATTGTTTTTTGCACAAGCTGATCGAAATTTGTCCAGCTCAGGAGGGACAGTTCCAATGCAGTGTGTGCACCACTCAACTTGAAGCTTCTTACTCTTCCCATGTATTACCATTGCTCCTCTGCACATGTGGTCTCATAGCTCATTTCCTTTTCTTTGGTTCAGAAACTGGATGCTTTCCTGGCAGACCTGAGGAAGGCCTCTGATTTACTACAGCATGCCATCCAGGAGCTGGGTGAAGGTAGCACACCTCAGGACTCAAAGGTAGGCCTTCTGAACCTCCTGAGAAATAAGCAGCAGAAAAGTGGAACCTAACCTGATCTAAAAATATGAACTCCTGTTTTTTGCTAAGGAAGCAGAGGAAAAGATGAACCAATACCGGGAGCTGATGAAGGTGGTCCTGAGTGATTCACGCCTAGTGACGTTACAGCGAGAAGGAGGGACCACCCTGGCCAGACTGCGCAAAGAGGCTACTCGCTTCTGCTGCTCCAAGGATGTCAGGTGTGCTTTTAATATTTGTGATTCTCTTTCATTTTGTTTGGATCATTTTGTTTGGATCAACTATAAACCTTTCAGGGTTCTTATAGGATTTTTCACAGATCCTGTTCTGCTTTTGTTTTTTAAATAATGTGATAGGGTGTAAAGCTGGGCTGATATGGGGAGTTGTAATTTCTTTCAACAAAGGGGTTGAATGAAAAAAAAACTCAGTTCCCTGAATCCAAACAAGCGATGTGGATGCAAGGATCTCCCCCACTGTGCTATTGTATTTTGACAGTGGTGATGCCCCCTCCCCCCCACATCACAATACACAGATCACTTACAACCAATGGATGCACTGATCAAATGCTGGTTTTCCTGCAGGACCGTTCATCAGAAGCCTGTCTAACGACCAGCTTCGGGTTGAACAGACAGCAGTACACACAGAGCGAAATTCGTCCAGTTCCTGCTGAAGCAGAAAAATTTCGGACTGTCTATATCAGTTTTTACAGTGCAACTACTTAAGGGCTTGTTCACATGATGGGCTCATTTATACCTGCAAGATCCACAGTGGATCTCTCCTCAGTGGGTGTTTGATAGGCAGTGAGGAAATGCCTCCTCCCCAGGGGTGGACTGACCATTTGGAAACTCAGGCACTGCCCAAGGGCCCGGGGTCAGTAGGGGGCCCCATGAGATGCCCCTGGTACCTTTTTCATATGTTTTTTTGAGTTTGGGCAAGGATACAGGGGCCCCATGATCCCCTATTGCCTGGGGGCCCCATGAGTTTTCAGTCCGCCCCTGCTCCTCCCTGCCTATTTTAACCCCTAAAATCCCATTACCACAACTGCGCACATTGCACATGCTTGCGGGATGGTTATAGTGCAGCCCCATTCAGGCGAACGAGTTGCATTTGGCGGGCAATATTGCACTCCATGTGTGACAACAGGTATCATTTTTGCCATGCTGCGATGCCAATAAACACATGATAAAAATGCAGATCAGCAAGCTATAACCCACATAAAATTACACTGAAATGTGCATAAAAGCACATGTAAACGCATCTCAAGACACACATTTTTTACATGAGTTTCTCGGCACGTTGTAGTATAAACATGCTCTAAGTGAATGTTAAGTGGAACAGTCAGTGTATTATTATCACATGGCCAGTCCCTGTGTTGTAGTAAGAAACACTTTACCACCATGGAAATCATTTAAATTGACACGTTCTTCTCTAGTATCTCACCAAAGTAAAGGTAATGGGGTTGTGGATGCAGGAGATTATCCAGCATGATGTTCCGTCATCTGTCTGGTCATCCCTCCATGAATTAGAATGACTCTAACATTGCATGCAGTGATATTCTGCCCAACTTGCTTGCATCCTTGTTCTTGGTCAGTGACACCATATGTATTAAAGAATAATTCCAGGCATGGCTATATTAGGCAAAGTTACATTGGTCCATATATATATATATATATATATATATACACCGTATCTGGCTGATGTCCCTAATGTCCCTAGAAGCTGGAAATCACTGAATTAAACACAGCTACTCCAGTGATCTACACTTACTTCCGGGTCCCATGCTGAGCAGTTGCACTCCTGCGTACTAAATACAGGAGATTAGCCCCTCGGTCCGACACCGTTCAGAGAATGCAAAGCGTTTTCTGAATGAATGCAAATAGTTTTCTGATTGGATGGATGAGGCAGAGAGCCAGGGTGGTCACATTCTCCACCGTCATCCAATCATCCACCTCGTCCCATCAGAGAAGACATTGCATTTATTCAGAAAATACAAAGCATTCTCTGAATGGCATCATTGCTGAGCAGCCAACCTCTTACTGTATGTTCACAATGCATTAGACCTGCCACTCTGCATGAGACCTGGAAGCAAGTGGAGATCACTGGAGTAGTGGGGTCTACTTCAGTCATTTCCATCTTCCATGTGCAGGCCAGGTATAGTATAGTATTATGCTGTACATAGTTACATCGGTCCAAGATATATAAATTATGCCATACTTATAATTCCACTTTGAAGTTGGAGACAGCCAAAAAAATAGCATTTTCATAAGGAGGTCATCAATGACAGCCTACACATTTCTCTTATTACATGTTTCCTTTATAGCACAACTCCAATCATAACTTTTTTTGTGGATATGAAGGGGAAGAGTTAGCCAATGTCCCCAATGAACAGATTCCCTCCCGTCAGCTTAGCAAGGAAATAGGAGAAATCTCCTTCATGGGGTTCACAGATAATAAAATCCTGAGAGAGATTCTAATCCTCCTCACTCTACTAAAAGCTGCTATGCTCCCATTGCTGTCTGTGTCCCTATTGAGAAGATTTTTCAATTAAAGCTGAACTATAGGATAAGTAAATATTCTTTAAATATAAGTCATGTATATTCTTACGTGGATCTTGCTGTGCTTTGTGTATTTCCTCCACATCTGTGCAGTAATCCAGTGTGAGACTTTCCCTCTGTGCAGAGGCTTCCTGTAATAGAGACCAGTAACTGTTTCGCTCTTTCATTATGCAGGGTGACTGGTCTTGTCTCCAGCTCCTCCTGTAGTTTCCTGCAGGCAGCCTGTAAAGGGTCGGTCTACAGGACCCCTCCAATTGATTATCCAATCAATGTGTACAGTGCCTTGAAAAAGTATTCATACCTCTTGAAATTTTCCACACTTTGTCATGTTACAACCAAAAACATAAATGTATTTTATTGGGATTTTATGTGACAAACCAACACAAAGTGACACATAATTGTGAAGTGGAAGGAAAAGCATAAATGGTCTTCAAAATTTTTTTACAAATAAATATCTGATAAGTGTGGCGTGCATTTGTATTGAGCACCTTTTACTGTGATACCCCTAACTAAAATCTAGTGGAACCAATTGCCTTAAGAAGTCACCTAATTAGTAAATAGAGTCCACCTGGGTGTCATTTAATCTCAGTATAAATACAGATGTTCTATGAAGCCCTGAGAGGTTTGTTAGAGAACATCAGCGAACAAACAGCATCATGAAGGCCAAGGAATACACCAGACAGGTCAGGGATAAAGTTGTGGAGAAGTTTAAAGCAGGGTTAGGTTATAAAAAAATATCCCAAGCTATGAACATCTCATGGAGCACTGTTCAATCCATCATCCAAAAATGGAAAGAGTATGGCACAACTACAAACCTAACAAGACATGGCCGTCCACCTAAACAGACAAGTAGAGCATTAATCAGAGATGCAGCCAAGAGGCCCATGGTAACTCTGGAGGAGCTGCAGAGATCCACAGCTCAGGTGGGAGAATCTGTCCACAGGACAACCATTAGTCATGCACTCCACAAATCTGGCCTTTATGGAAGAGTGGCAAGAAGAAAGCCATTGTTGAAAGAAAACCATGCAGTTTGCAAGAAGCCATGTGGGGGACACAGCAAACATGGAAGAAGGTGCTCTGCTCAGATGAGACCAAAATTTAACTTTTTTGGCCTAAAAGCAAAATGCTATGTGTGGTAGAAAACTAACACTGCACATCACCCTGAACACACCATCCCCACCGTGAAATATGGTGGTGGCAGCATCATGTTGAGGGGATGCTTTTCTTCAGCAGGGAAAGGGAAGCTGGTCAGAGTTGATGTGAAGATGGATGGAGCCAAATACAGGGCAATCCTAGAAGAAAACCTGTAAGAGTCTGCAAAAGACTTGAGACTGGTGCGGAGGTTCACCTTCCAGCAGGACAACGACCCTAAACATCCAGCCAGAGCTACAATGGAATGGTTTAGATCAAAGCATATTCATGTGTTAGAATGGCCCAGTCAAAGTCCAGATCTAAATCCAATTGAGAATCTGTGGCAAGACTTGAAAATTGCTGTTCACAGACGCTCTCCATCCAACCTGACAGAGCTTGAGCTATTTTGCAGAAGAAGAATGGGCAAAAATGTCCCTCTCTAGATGTGCAAAGCTGGTAGAGACATCCCCAAAAAGACTTGCAGCTGTAATTGCAGCGAAAGGTGGTTCTACAAAGTATTGACTCAGGGGGGCTGAATACAAATGCACGCCACACTTTTCACATATTTATTTGTAAAACATTTTGAAAACCATTTATCATTTTTCTTCTACTTTACAATTAAGTGTCACTTTGTGTTGGTCTATCACATAAAATCCAAATAAAATACATTTAGGTTTTTGGTTGTAACATGACAAAATGTGGAAAAATTTCAAGGGGTATGAAGGGGTATGAATACTTTTTCAAGGCACTGTAATTCAATCAAAGTGATCAAATTGGCAAACAATCAAATATGGCCTAATTTTTTTTCTGGTCATTTTGGATCAGAGTCAATTGGGCAGATTGAAAAATTATTGATCGCATTGCATCAATTGACAGAACTGAGATGCTTTGTTTATAAATTTGATCATATATTGATTGATCGGTTTATGAGATTGCATATTAAAAACAGAGATGTGATCAATAACTTATTATTGTATCTTAGTGGCTTTCAGGAGAAATTGGAAAAGAAATTGATTATTTATCAAAGCATGCATACCCACCATTAAAGTGGTTTTAAATGCTCAAGGTTTTTTACCCTCATGCATTCTATGCATGAAGATAAAAAACCTTCTGTGTGCAGCCCCCCCAATACATACCTGAGCCCCATTGTGATCCAGCGATGTGCACAAGAGTCTCAGCCCTTCGGGGACGCTCCCTCCTTATTGGCTGGGACAGCATTGGCTCTCGATGCTGTCAATCACAGCCAGTGAGCCAATGAGGAAAGAGAGTTGCTGCTCTGTGTGTGAATGGACACACAGAGCAGTGGCTCAGTAGCGGGCCTGCTTAGGTGCCCTTATAGCAAGCTGCCTGCTGTGGGGGCATTTGGCAGGAGGGAGGAGCCAGGAACCCAAAAAAAGGAGGATCGGGGAAGCTCTGTGCAAAACCATTACACAGATAAAGTATGACATGTTTGTATTCTAACCCCTTGGTGCCGGCACCTCCCGGCCCTTTAAGGGTTCCAGAAGCCGGGAGGTGGGGTTTTAGGGTCATGTGAC